GTCGGTGTTCCGGGTCTGGGGATCTCGTGCCTTTGTCCGCGATACGTCCGCGGACAAGCTCTCTGCCCGCGCTGTTCCCTGTGTCTTCCTTGGCTTTCCTCCGGACGCGCCTGGCTGGCAGTTCTCCCACCCCACCTCGCGCAGTGTCTTGCCCTCTCAGGGCGTCACCTTTGATGAGTCAGTTCCCTTTTACCGTCTCTTCCCCTACCGCACAGCCCCGCTCCCTCCCTCGCCCCTCTTCCTCGTACCAGGTCCTCCTCCGGTAGACCCCCTCCCCCCTCAGGGTCCTGCTACTTCAGGTGTGTCTCAGGTAGACACGGTCGAGCCTGTCGAGGTAGCTGTTGACTCTGGTCCTGCTAGGGGTGCTGCGCCTGGGAGTGCTGAGCCTGCGTGTGGGGGGCCTGGGGGTGTTGAGCCTGAGGGTGCTGAGCCTGGGGGTGCTGAGTCTGGGGGTGCTGCGTCTGGGGGTGCTGAGCCTGGGAGTGCGGAGCCTGCGGGTGAGGAGTCTGGGGGTGCTGAGCCTGCGAGTGCGGAGCCTGGGGGTGCTGAGCCAAGAGTTGGTGCTTCTGTGGGTGTTCGTTCACGCCAGGAGCTCACTCCACTGCAGCTGCGCGAGTGGTACACCTGGCGCTCCCGCCTTCGGAGTGGTGCTGTTGGTACTGCGCCTCGGAGTGCTGGGCCTGCGGCAGCAGAGCCTGGGAGTGCTGAGACTGCACGTACGGAGCCCCAAGGTGCCTCGCTGAGGCGGTCCTCCGCGAGGGAGCTTCCCTCTCCCCAGCAGCTCCGCGAGTGGTACGCTCGTCTCACCCCCCTTCGGAGTGGTTCTGCCGGAGCTGGAGACCCTGCCCCTGGAGGTGCTGAGACTGCCGGGGCTGAGGGTGCTGCTGCGACTGGTGGTGCTGAGGCTGGAGGTGGTGGAGGTACTACTGCTGCTGGAGGTACTGGAGCTGCCGGAGCTGAGGGTGCTGCTGCGTCTGGTGGTGCTGAGGCTGGAGGTGGCAGAGGTGCTTCTGGAGCTGGAGGTGCTGGAGGTGCTGCTGGTGCTGGAGCTGCTGGAGCCGCTGGTCCTGGAGGTGCTCGTACTGGAGGTGCTCGTACTGGAGGTACTGGCACGGCTGGAGGTCCTGCTGGTGTTGGAGCTGCTGGAGGTGCTGGAGCCGCTGGTCCCGGAGGTGCTCGTACTAGAGGTACTGGAGCTGCTGGGGCTGGTGGTGCTGCAGGAGTTGGAGCTGGAGGTGCTAGAGCTGTTGCTGCTGGAGGTGCTGCTGGAGCTGGTGCTGCTGGAGGTGCTGCACCTGGTGGTCCTGCGGGATTTGTAGCTGGAGACCCTGGAGCTGAGGGTACTGGTGCTGTCTCTGCTGTTTCTGGAGGCGCTACGCGGCCGCGGCCGTACTAGGTTCCGCTCCTTCAGCAGGTTCTTGGCCTCCCGCCTTCTACTAGTCCTACTCCTCCCTTATTGAGTCCACCGCCTGTCCAGTCGGAGTCGCAGTTACAGCCAGCCCCTCCACTGCCTGGTCCTTCTCCTTACTCTGGACCGACTAGAGGTCTTACGGAGCGTCGTGCGCCTGAGTCTCGTCCTGCGTCGCCTGAGTCTCGTCCTGAGTCGCCTGTACGCGTTGTTCGCACTGGTCGTGTTCCGCGTCAGCGTCCTCCTCCTGTCCCTGGCACTCACTATATGACTCTGCGTCCTTCCACTGCCCCACAGCGTGTCCCTCTGCCGTCTCCTCCTGCGTCCTCTCTTCCTGACGGTCCGGACCCGGATTCTGACTCCCTTCGTGCTGCTAGTCATACTGTCACGCGTTTCCTGGCCACTGTTGTCACTGACCCTTCGTTTGAGTCCACTGCTGCGTCTGCTCTAGTTGCTGAGCTTGTTGACTTTGCTGCCGCCTATCGTCTAGACTACGCCGCTAGTCTTGTTGCTGAGTCTGAGTCTGAGTCTGTCTGTCCTCTGTCCGTCGGAGGTGAGTGTGCTCTTGGCACGGACGCCCTTGAGGACAGACAGGAGGAGTTTGAGTGCTTTTCCGCTGCTTTACCTCATCTCGTGTCCATGCTGATTGCACCTGAGGGAGACCCGGATGCACCAGACATCCCGACCCCGCGCTCTTACGCAGAGGCGATAGAGGGTCCCTACTCCTCTCAGTGGCAGACAGCCATGGACACAGAGATGGCTTCCTGGAAGTCCACACGCACCTACGTCGACGAGGTTCCCCTGCCTGGGGCGAACATCGTCAGCGGCATGTGGATTTTCAGGGTGAAGCGGCCGCCGGGTTCTCCGCCTGTCTTCAAGGCGCGTTACGTTGCACGAGGCTTCAGTCAGCGAGCGGGAGTTGACTTCTTCCAGACCTTCTCCCCTACCCCGAAGATGACCACTCTTCGGGTTCTGCTGCACGTCGCCGCTCAGCGTGACTACGAGCTTCACTCTCTTGACTTCAGCACTGCTTTCCTACAGGGCAGCCTGCACGAGGAGATCTGGCTGCGCCGCCCACCTGGCTTCACTGGGTCGTTTCCTGCTGGTACCCAGTGGAGCCTCCGGCGGCCAGTCTACGGTCTCAGCCTGGCACCCCGTGAGTGGCACGACACACTGAGTAAGACTCTTGCTGCTCTTGGGTTTGCTCCTTCTACTGCTAACCCGTCGCTGTCTCTATGCACCGACACCACTCTGCCGCCGTTCTACGTTCTCGTGTACGTAGACGACTTGGTCTTTGCTACTTCTAACACTGAGGGACTCGCCCACGTGAAGTCGGAGCTGCAGAAGAGACACACGTGCACAGAGCTGGGTGAGCTGACAAGCTATCTTGGCTTGCGGATCACCAGGGACAGAGCACAGCGCACCATTACCTTGAGTCAGTCACACATGGTGCAGCAGGTCCTTCAGCGCTTCCGCTTCACGTACTCCTCGCCACAGTCCACTCCTCTACCTACCGGTCACTCGCTCTCAGCTCCACCTTTGGACGAGTCCGTAGAGCCGAGTGGCCCGTATCCAGAGCTTGTGGGCGGCCTCATGTACCTGATGACCTGCACTCGACCTGACCTTGCCTACCCTCTTAGCATTCTAGCACACTATGTCGCTCCTGGCAGACACAGGAAGGAGCACATGGATGCCGCAAAGAGGGTGTTGCGCTACTTGTGCATTACGTCGGGCATGGGGCTCGTGCTTGGAGGACGGGCTCGAGTTGTCCTCACTGGTCACGCAGACGCTTCCTGGGCTGACGACTTGGCTACGCAGCGGTCGTTCAGGGTTACACCTTCAGTCTTGGCTCCGGCTCTGTTTCTTGGCGGTCTACCCGCTCTTCTTCTGTTCTCAGCTCTAGTTGTGAGGCTGAGATCTACGCAGGGTCCATGGCTGCACATGAGTTACGCTGGCTCACCTACCTGCTGACCGACCTGGGAGAGCCGCCTCGTTCTCCTCCAGTGCTGTACGTCGACAACAAGGCCATGATTGCCTTGTGTCAGGAGCACAAACTGGAGCACAAAACGAAGCACATTGCTCTGCGCTACTTCCTTGCTCAAGAGTTGTAGCAGCGTGGTCAGCTTTGTCTTGCTTACGTGGCCACTCGGGCCAACACTGCTGATGTCTTCACCAAGGCACTTCAGCCTTGTAATCATCAGCGTTTCTGTACTGTTCTAGGCCTTGTGCCTACTGTGCCTCACTTGCTTACTTATTGACTCTGCTTGTACTGTGATCTCTATACATATACCTGCATGCTTACACTTGCTAGGTTGTAATCCCTGTATTGCTTGTTCTCCTTTATATAACTCTGCATGTGAACTGGCCTTGTGGCCATTTGCTTGTGCTCAGAATGTGTGGTGACATCGTGATCCACCCTGAGCTTGCTTTGCCTTTCTTGACCGGTCTTGTGACCTCTTGTTCTCCCCCACTTTGCCTATGGGGGTGTGTCAAACATATATGCTATAGCTTGTTTAGGCTGTAGTGGGGTAGTCACTATGGGGTACAACACTTTAGGGTTTCACTACTTGTACCCAACTTCTTGCTAATGCAATCACTTCTTGCTAATGCAATCACTTCTTGTACTTTCCATCATTCGATCTTGCATGCTATATCAACCTTGCTTGTATTCCCCAATATCAATTAATTCTCCTTCAACTCTTCAATTACTCAGTAACACTTTCGCATATTTCGCCAATAGTTCTTTCGCCAAAGTCTTACGCCGCGTTTTCATGCTCGACTTAGTCGACCCCGCTAATCTTTAGCGGATTTAGGCCAAGGGGCCTAACAATTCGAGTGTCAAAACTACATACGCACACCCCAAATGCCCTACCGTGAAAGGCACGTGATTCGAGTTGGGGGAGAACAGAAGAGGGCTGTCCTGTCGGTCGACCAAACCCAAGTCGACACTATCAAGGGTGTTACTAGGGACCTCGGTTGAGAACGATCGTGAGGAGATCGGAACGGTTAATGCCAGTAGTCTTGGGACTTGTTCACTTTTGTTCGGTAGTATCGGTTGAGAATGATTCTGTGGAAATCCGAAGGGTCATTCGTTTGAGAGAAATAAAATAAATCTAAAAACACGATCATTCCTCTCACATGATATAAAACATGATAGTACGTTATACCTGCAAATACATGAAAACGTAGGCTTATGCTGAAATGCTCTTGAACACAAGGGTGTGTGCTATGTGATGTATTGTATAGACGCGCAACGTAAATATCTATACTGTAATGTGCTGCTGATATCATGAGAATTTCTCCCCCTGTAGCTCAAGGTCTCGATCACTCATAGAGCCCTGATGCTGGTGTTAGCACAATGGAAGGACAGGGGGGCATGCGGGGAGAGACAAAAGGGCACATACAAAGGGGAAGGAAAGTAACACATCAGAGGCAAGGGAACACGTAGGAAGAGCACACCCCTACTATTAGTGCTCACACAGGGAGAAAGGCTGCACAAAGAGCTCATCATTCGCAGATGAACAGCGTCCTCCTAACAGCTGATTCATTATACTATATATGACAGTTGTCTTACGATATTTACTTTCCACCATCAGTGTTCGCAGAGCGAGAAGGGGCGTTCAAAGTGCTCCTCATTGGCCAGCTGAACCAGCGCCCTCCTCTCTTCCATTAGAGTCTCCCAGTACTTCTTTGCTTTTTCCATTGTCATCGTTGCACCCCTGCCGCCCATGCTCTCTCTATCTACACTCCTGCTCTCTCCCCCTACACCCTGCCGTTCCCCTCCATCTCCTCCCTCATCAACCCTACCCTCCTCCCCACCTCTCTCCACACCACTAATTTCTCCCTTACCCTCCTCCCCATCGTCTCCCCCACCCTCTCCCCCACCCACTCCTTTAGCAATCAAATCTATAGCTAACCCAGGCAGGACCGAGCACGGATGGCCTTTTCTCTCCAGCTCCCTTCTCTGCCAGCTCAGCTGCTGAGGTGGCACGCGCGCAATAGATACGATCACCACACGTGGATCCACCAGGAAAAATACAAGAATCTTCCTGTGGCTGGCACGGGTTTTGTCCTGTACCTCGAACGGCGCGACTCGGTGGTGGAAGTGGTTTGGGAACGCGAGGCGGAGGTTCGGGATGTCGGTCCGGACCGAGCCTAGAGGTTGGGTGAGAGGTCCGTCGTCCACCAGGCCATATATCCGAGCCACGCCTTTGTTGTCGTTCTGGTCGTAGTCTGGTTCGGCAACGGTGATTCTGAATTGAAGGCGAGATTCAGTGATGTTGTCAGAGTCAAAATAGTAGATGCATGTGGCCTGGGATCAGACAGGGAAGAGGAGAAGGGGGAAGTGGGGAAATTGCGGGGGAGAAGGGGGAAGGGGAGCAAGGGCGGGGGAGAAAGGGGGGGGGGGTGGGGGGGGGGGGGGAAGAGGATGGGGAGGAGAAAAGGGATTGGAGGGAGAAACTAGAGGTGTTATGGCATGCCATTGTTGTTATTCTGATCGTAATCTGGTTCAGCAATGGTGAACCTGAATTGAAGGCTCGATTCAGTGATGTTGTGAGAGTTAAAATAGTAGATGCGCGTGGCCTGGGGGTTGATGAGAGACGGGAGAGGGGGGACGGCAGGACAGAGGCTGGTGGAAGGGAAGAAAGGAAGCAGAGGTGTGATTGAAGGCGCGACTCGGTGATGTTGTGAGAGTCGACATAGTAGATGCCTGTGACCTGGAAGGGAAGAGAAGGGGAAACTGGGAGGGTGGGGGAAGGGGAGACGGAGAGCGGAAGGGGAAAAAGGGGACGAGTTTGGGGAAATTCGAGGGAAGGGAGGGGAGGAAATAGAGGTGTTATGGCATGCCTTTGTTGTCATTCTGGACCTAGGAGGTGCGGCTTGGGCACACAATAGGAGGTGCGGTTTGGGGGTAAGAGTGATCAAGTTAAACCAATAGTAGGTCTAAGCGAAGTGACAACGAGGTGTGGGAGGGTGGGAGGAATGGGAAGGAGGGAGAGAGGGAGGGACTCAGAAGGCTCAATCGGGCCCCAGTTAGGAGCCATGGCAGAAGAAGTTGAGTCTACTCAAAAGTCACCTAGTGATGAGGAGGTGTGGGAGGGAGGGAGAGACTCAGAAGGCTCTTGACCCTCTCCGTCCATCCCTCCCTGTTTCCCCCTCTTCCCCCCTTCCATCCCCCCTTCCGTCCCCCCTCTGCCCCCGTCCCCTCCTCGACCCCTCTTTCCGTCCCCTTCCATCTCCCCTCCGCCCCCCTTTTCATCTCCACTCCGCTCCCCTTTTCGTCCCCCCTCCCCCCTCCCTGCCGTCCCCCCTCCACCCCCCCTCCACCCCCCCTCCAACCCCCCTCCACTCCCCCCAGGCACATTGCGTTTCAACATAGATCCGTTCAGCGAGCGCAGTGACAGCGAGGTGTGGAAGGCGATGGGGAGGGCGCACCTGAGGGAGGTGGTATCTCGCATGCCGCTGGGGCTGGACACAGAGGTGAGTGTAAGGGAATGAAAGATAGTTGTACCTGGACAGTGCTCGTACCCAGGTGCCACCTGAGGGAGGTGCTATCCGGCATGTCACGGACTCTTCCCCTTCAATTGTCTATTTCCCCACAGGTGGCGGGGGGAGGGGAGAACTTCAGCTGCTCAGGAGTCCCGCATTCTGGTGCTGGATGAAGCAACGGCAGCCATTGATGTGGGCACGGATGCGCTGATCCAACGGACGGTACGCGAGGAGTTCAAGGGGCGAACCATGCTGACCATCGCTCACCGGCTCAACACCATAGCGACAGGATTCTGGTCATGGATGATGGCATGTTGAGCTCTTTGTTTTAACAATGATACGTCTTGTCGCCTATCCACTATTGATAAGTGTTTTCTGTTCCTCTCGCACTTTCTCCATGCCTTCCTCCCTGCCAGGCCTTGGAACACGACACGCCAACCAACTTGGAGTATCGATTGAAACCAGCGTGTTTACAACCATGGAGCGCAGCACGGGGCCTCAAACTGCCAAGCATGCGCAGTGTGGCGTTGGTGGAGGTGGCGCTAGCAGACAAGCTGCCTTGCAGTCTCAAAGTCCGCTAAGTACCCTCTCTTGTTGCTCCCCCCCCTCCCTCTGCTCACTCCCTCTCTCTGCCCACTCCCTCCCCCCCAGGCCCTGGAGTATGACACGCCAGCCAACCTGGTACTGAACGCAGGCAGAGTGTTCGCAGCAATGGTCCGCAGCACGGGGCCTCAGACCGCCAAGTACCTGCTCCTCCATCCCTCTGCCCAATGCCTCCCTGCAGGCCCTGGAATATGACACGCCAGCCAACTTATTCCTAAACGAAGAGAGCGGGTTTGCAGCAATGGTGAGCAGCACGAGGCCTCAGATTGCCAAGTATCTGTGCAGTGTGGTGCTGGGGGAGGTGGCGCTAGCAGACGAGCTTGCCGGCTGGGCGGCGGCAAAGGAGAAGCAGATGGCGCGCGAGACAGCCAAGTGGCGGTGGGCCACTGCCGCCCAGTGGGCGCTGGCTCTCACGCTCACGTCCTCACAGAGGGACTTGCAGGTACATGCGTGCTAGTTCTTGTGCAAAGGTTGCAGGTGCATGCATGCCTCTCAGTGGCCAAGTGGCGGGGAGTCACTGCTGCCCAGTGCGCTCTGGCTCGCACGCTCAGTGAGCGTCGCTCAGGTCTTTCCAGAGGGATTTGCAGGTGGGTGCTACTGAGGTGGGTGCTACTGAGGTGGGTGCTACTCAGGTAGGTGCTACTGAGGTGGGTGCTACTGAGGTGGGTGTTTGCACATGGTCTCTGCATGTGCATGCTTCCCAGTTGCAGATTAGCGCTGGGCCACTGCAGCGCAGTGGGCTCTGGCTCTCTCGCTCACGTCCTCGCGAAGGGTTTTCCAGGTGCATGTTAATGGGGTCCATGCTTGCAGGTGGGTGTTTGCACGTAAGTGTTTTGTCATGATTTTAGTTGTAGGAGTAGTTGAACACAATATAATATCATGACTAATAGGATAAAGGAACATGCAGTAGCGAGGCGATTTAAAAGAGATCTCACACGGTTAAAGTCAAGAGGGGACTGGCAAAATGGAAAATGGAAACAGAAGAGCGCGGGCGTTAGAGGAGAAAATGGAACGGGAACAGAAGGCAACGCCAGACCCGGGCGGAACGCCACAAGATCCGAGGTGGGCGACAGAGGCAAAAGCGCACTGGCAGAACAAGGAAGGAAAGACTCCACCGACGGCGATGCCGGGAATGCACGGGCAAGAGGAAGAAGCCAAAGACTCAGGGACTCCCCGACGAGGAGAGATGGTGGCAAAGCGGAGTTGCACAGCAGCCAGAGAACGGAAACGGAAAGCTATCGCAGAGAGAGATGCGCTGGAAATTAGCGAACCTACCTAAAGTGGAAGTGGCGGAGCGGTACTGCGGCATCCCGGGCGTAGGGCCAAATTTGAAAAACTACCTCATGCAGCTGGAGACAGTGCAGTACCGTTGGGAAAGAGACGGATACAACCCATCCGAATTCTTCAGGAAAATGGTGGGGACACTGGCAGGAGAAGTCGAGACGTTCTATCGTATGGTGCGAGAGGAAATCCTAGAAGAGTTGGCATGCGGTGAAATAGACAACCCGACTGCAAGGTTCATCCAGATGCTGCGGAAGGAGTTCGTAGGGCAAACCAGGGTGCAGGTCGAAGAATTTCGCGAATTCAGGAGGAAGAAGGAAGAGTCCCTCCTGGCATACTACTGCAGGCTGCGCGAGCTGGCAGAGGACCTCAATAGTAAGGACGAGCGCCTCCTGGTACGGAATTTTGTACGGGGATTGGAAGAAGATCTGAGAAACGTGGTGAGGAGCACGGTATGCGGCATAGGCACAGATATCACACTGAAGGAGGTGTACGGCATGGCGAAGAGAACGGAGCACGCACAACGCCTGCTGGATCTCAAAGATAGCGAAGGCCGCGGCAGGGCCAGGACAAGCTGGGCGGCAACGGCCGTGCCGGAAGTCAACTGCGGTGCGGCAGGATGCTTCGACAACCGAGTCTGTCACACCTGTGGAGAGGGCGGGCATCTGAAAAGAGACTGCCCCAAGGCGCCCAGCCGTGACAACTGTGGAAAGAGAGGTCACCGCAAGGAGGAATGCTACAGCAAGCCGAGAGAGCCGCTGGGGGCAACCAGGGAGGAGCTGCAGGCTGAATTCAAGAAGCTGCAGCTACGACTGTAGAAGATGCAACCCACTAATGAAGCCAAAGCTCGATCGATGCTGGCGTACGAAGAAATAGAGAGAGAGGAAGAAGAGGAGGAAGAGTACTGGCAGGAATACGCAGTGATGGCGTATCCTAGGGATAGAGAGGAGATAGATCCGAGGCCGCAGGGGGGGCAGTCGCAGGAAAGTGACGCGACCAGCCGAAGCAGCCGGAGGAGCAACCACCGAGCGAGAGGGCCTGAGCACGGAAATGCGGAGGCATCCCAATGAAAGGCTCGTCTGCCAGGCGTCAGTATTCATAGCTGATAAGGGAAGTATGACTGCGGGAGGGCTGCCAGTAAAGCAAGCTATTATCGACACAGGAGCACACCATGTCCTGATAGGAAAGGGGCTAGCGAAGCAGCTTGGACCTGCCAGGAAGGGCAGTAGAGAGATGAATTTTGCTGAGGACCGCCGAGGGAGGGGAGCCTAAATGGATGCCGCGGACGAAACGACCAATATTGGTGGTGGTGCTGCTGGGGACAGAAAAGGAATGTTGCATCCGACTGCAGTGCGGAGTGTCAGAATCCGAGGACTACGATGTCCTAGTGGGCATGGAACTCCTGTACCGGTTCGGAGCCACCATCTGCACGTGGCAGGAGAAGGTCCTCTACCGAGTGCAGTACTGGGACCCTGAAAGCTCAGTGGGTACGCTGCCCGTGAAGTTCGTCAGGCAAGAACCGCGGGAGGCCTACCAGGCGCGGAAGAAGGATCTGAGTGAGGAGCTAGACGAATGGTCTTGGGAGCAGTACGGGAAGGAGTATGAAAGGAGGGTGGAGCGTGGAGTAGCAGGGCAGGAGGCCCCACCACTTAAGGAGAGGGTCAGCTGAGTGTGGACTCTAGAGAGAGCAATCTGCATAGTGCAGTTACACGGGGGAATCGGCTCGGGACTCGCAGCAGCTTTGCGGGCAGGGTGCTTGGTCAAGAAGTGGGTGCACGTGGAGAGAGATCCTGCAGTGCGGAAATTGGCGAGGCATCATGCACTGATGCTCCTGGAGGAATATCCAGAACAGTTACTGGTAACGGCCATCCCGCGAAAAGACGAAGCAGAGGTGCACGATGGGAGTGGGTGCTTGAAGAATGGGGACATATAGACCTGGTGGTGGCAGGATGGGAATGCCAGGGGTACTCGAGAGCGGGAGAAGGAAGGGGAATGGAGGATGCAAGAGGAGCCTCCTTCGGAGATCTGAAAAGGGTTATGGAGATGATATAGAAGAAGCAGGGCGAGGTGTTGTACATTCTGGCGAACGTGGACCTGGCCGAAGATTTGAGAGAGCCCGTGAAGCGGGCCTTCGCGGAGATAGTGGAGGTGCTAGGAAGAGGGGTGCCAGCAGATGCAGCGCAGCTGGGCTCTAGGGCACATCGATCAAGGAGATACTAGCAGAATGGCATATCCACGGCATCGCTGAGGCACTCGCTGGCACGGATGACCTGGGCAAGTGACGGGGGTGGGCATGCGGAGCCGAACCACATGCTCGCCCCCGTCACTTGCCCAGGTCATCCGTCGCAGTATCAGTGCAACGAGCCTGGCAAGCCACGACAAGCACTGCCCACGCTAGTGGCCTACGAAGAGGCGAGAGGCTTTGTCATGGAGGGCAAACTCCTAGGCCCGGAAATGATATACGACGTGCGAAAGGGCAGGTGAGAACAGCCCACCGCCAATGAGCGAGAGGCGGCCATAGGGAATCTTTGGGAAGCCACAGCTCACCCAGAGGTGACAGAACGGCAGCGTAGAGTGGCGCTGGGCAGAGCGATGGACGTCAACGTGATGACGTGGCTGATCGAGACCATTCGCATGCATCTCAAGGTGAAGGAGTTGGAAAGGGACATAGTGGCAAGTGAGAGAATCAAGGAGTATGAAACGACAGAATGACAGAGGAAGCTGCTGGAAGGGATAGAGGAGAGATACGAGGAGAGGGTGGTCGAAGGATGGGCTTATATGGCGATGGAGGATGGAGAGGTAAAGGAGGAAGGAAGGAGACTGTCAGAACCAGAGAAGGAGAAGGGGCAGAGAAGTGGAAGGACACCAAAGGAAGAATGGCCCCTGGGGGAAGGATTAGGAGAGGAAACGACAGCAGCGATGCAGGAGGTATTCCGGCAGCACAGAGAGACATTTTCCTACACCCTGCAAGAGTTAGGCAAGTGTAGGACACATGAGATGCGGATTGAACTGACCAGCAAGATACCAGAGGAAGCGTCGCATGAGCCCAGGCGATGTCGACATCTGCATGGAAATGTGTGCAGAGCTAATAGCGGCAGGCTTGATCCAAAGGTCAAAAAGTGACTACGCAGCAGCAACCGTAGTGGCGTCCAAAAAATACCTAACGGGTGAGGTGCCGGTCAGGAGGATGTGAGGAGATTACAGATGTTTGAATAAGGTCACAATGGCAGATCGGTATCCGATGCAGTCAGCAGAGGAGATATTCGGCAAGTTACAGGGGGCGAAAGTGTTATCGACACTGGATCTGCGGCAAGGATTCAACCAGATTCCGATACGGCCGCAGGATTGCAAGAAAACGGCCTTTCATGGACCTGATGGACTGTACGAGTGGAAGTTCATGCTCTTTGGCATGAAGAACGCATCGGCACTGAGGGGAGTCCCAGTAGCAGCATGTTACATCGATGATGTGATCGTGTTCAGCCCGAACGTAGAGCAGCACGTGAAAGATGTGCGGGCGACACTAGAACCTATCAGAGAAGTCGGTCTCACCTGTCACCCAAAGAAGTGTAGCTTCGGCAACACCTCGGTGATGCACCTATGGTTTGAAGTGCAAGGGGGGACGCTGGGAATCCAGTAAGCGAAAGTAGAGGTTCTGGACCGTGTCCCACCCACGAAGGACTGAAGCACACTCAGGGCAGTGCTGGGGTTCCTCAACTACTACATAAGGTTGGTGCCTCAGCAGCTCCAGAACCTCCAGCAGAAACAACTGCAGTAGCAGCGTCACCAGCTCCAGCGCCTCCCTCAGCAGGGCCCCTAGCTCCAGCAGCGTGACCCTGACAGCCAGCGTACCACTCAAGCAGCTGCTGTGGGGAGAGAGGGAGTCGACGACAAGAGTGCAGCGGCGAGGCACCAGCGGAGCGACTACGGAGACGGCCGCTCCAGGGAGACTGCTCATCAGACGCCTCAGCGCCCCCAGGCTCAGCACCCCCAGACTCCTCACGCCCAGGCTCAGCACCTCCAGTCTCCGCACCCTCAGGCTCCGCACCTCCAGGCTCCGCACCCCCAGGCTCAGCACCCCCAGGCTCAGCACCCCCAGGCTCCGCACCCCCAGGCTCAGCACCCCCAGAAGCAGCACCCCGAGCAGGACCACCCTCAGCAGGACCCGAGTCACCAGTGACCTCAACCGGCGCAGTCAAGGGAGGAGGGTCTACCTGAGACACACCTGAGGGAGCAGGACCGGGAGCGGGGAGGGGGTCTACCTGGGGAGCACCTGGAGCAAGGAAGAGCGGCGGGGGGGGGGGAGGGGCAGTGCGGTAGGGGAAGAGACGGTAGAAGGGAACCGACTCGTCGAACGTGACGTTCTGAGAGGGGAAGACACGACGCGAGGTGGGGTGGTAAAACTGCCAACCAGGCGCGTCAGGGACAAAGCCAAGGAAGACACAGGGAACAGCGCGGGCGGAGAGCTTGTCCGCGGTGGTATCGCGGACAAAAGCACGAGCACCCCAGACCCG